TGGATTGCTATAAGAGCTGTAAGAAGCCCCAATAAAATGATTTATTAAAATTTAAAAAGAAAATGACCATGTGTTACTTTTTAATGAACTTCTTTGTTTATTTATATTACATTATTCAAACATTTATAGTGTCCCATTAGCTTGTGGGGAAATGCATGCATTCCAGTGGATGATATGGTGCAGTTAATTTGTGGAAAGCTGATCAGATGCTCTGATTCATAGCACTATAAGAATCAACCTCTCATGTCAGAGACGGCATATTTATAGATCCTCATAAAAGCCAGGCTGAGTTGACTTTTCTGATTTCTGGATTTTATGGTGTCGTTCCCCCCCCCTCCACCTCCCCAAAGTACTTTCTGAGAGTCATTTAAAGCCCTTTCCTTTTATTATTTCCTTCCCCAACAATCTGGGGAAGGGTGAGTGGCTGATGAAGTGCTCAATAAGGCCACGTGAAAGAGAGAAACCCAAAGGTTTGGGAAAACCTATAAAGGACACAATTAGTTCCTCAGTATGAGTTGATTTCCAAGATGTGCTGCCAGGCATACCACCCAGGGAGGATAAGTGCATCGCCCTTCTTTAGAGGCGAGCACACCTGCTCACTGTGCTAAGGAGTGCACCAGAACCATCGACTTCATGGAACATCAGTACCCGGGAAGCCCAAGACAACTTCGTGTGCCCTTCGATATTTGATGAGGTCACAATCTTCTTTGCTATATTGACCAACACATTTCATCGGCACTCAGATCAATTCCATTTCCACTTCTAAAATGTAAGTTCTTTCCTTTAAAACTCGAATAAAGAAGAGGGTCAATGTCTCTTCTGGTAAGTTTGCATAGTGCTCACACAGAAAATTGACCAAGCCACATCACTGACAGGAAGAAGGTTAAGGCAACACATTCAAACCCTAAGAAAAATGTATCAGGCTCTCACACTTGAAGTAAAACTTGTGCTTTAAAGATGTAATTATGTACAACCCTTTTTCATTTCTAGACTTGGATCCTCAAATGAGAGGATTAAGTGCCCTGTCCTAGTTTTTCAGATTGAGACAGGTCAAGAATTAACTTAAAAACAGAAACAAAACCATAGTATGAAAATAAGATCAAAGCATAGAGAAATGGTTAGCCTAACTCTGATAATTCAAGGTGCAGAAATACAGAGGAACACTTTTTTTCATCTGATAGCAAATATCTATCTCGGAAACAGAATTTTTGTGTGCCCTTGAGAGACAAGTTGCTATAGAAATATCAACTATGAAATAAAAATAAGTTTATGGCTGTCTTCTCAGTCATGCTTCACATAGATTTTCCCATTGTTTTAATGACTTTTGGAATCAGTTGTAACATAAGTTGAGAAAAATTTTGACCAGAGAAAATCATTATAATCTAATTTAATAGCATTTTCCTCCACAATATCAATAATATTCCCTCCATAGAAAAATCGGTGAAATGCATATTTAGACAAGTAAATCTATCTGATAAATCATTTCACAGATGAGAAAGAAACCATGTGTGAAATGAAAGTTAGATGTTTTCAAAACCAGTTCATTTAACGAGAGGATACTAATCAATATGTAACGTTTTTTCATAATGAAAGGAACAGTAGGACGGAGACACATTTATGATGGTGGGTCACATCGCCTCACATTGTATTCCATTCCAGTTCGGTTCCCTGGGGATCAGACGAATAGTCTGTCTCAGCCGGATCACCACAGCCTGTAAGGGCTCCAGGAAGAACCACCGGTGATCCTGTGCTCCCCAAGCAAGCAGAACTTCCAGTGGCGGCATCAACTTGCCAGCGCTTCTAAGAAAATTTCTAATACATATTTTAAAATTTGTAATGATTCTTTGTGCTCACATTTGAGATTTAATTTAGTAATACATGAATGTTAATATTACATATCCGCATTTATATAAAGTGAGACAATATAATAAGACTATGTTGTTTTCTTTTCCAGATAGGTAAAAAGAAACCTACATAAATTAATAATATTCTTAAAAAGAATCACTTTGTCATGCTTTTGGAAAGAATTTTTAAAAATTAGTTTCAAGAGCTAGTTTAGAGTTGTGAGATAAAATCAATTTGGTAAATCATTTATCTCTGTCACACACACACACATGCACAATCATATTAAGAAAGTATAATTACTATGTATTAGTGTTTGTATATAATTTCCAAGTACTAAAATACAAATGGAAGAAATTTCTAAATAAAAAAATATTGGAATTAGAATGAATAAGAAACTCAATTAAATTTGAAGTTGAAGAATGTGAACATTGGCATATTGGATATTCTTATCATCTTATTCCTTAATTTTGTTTTTGTATGCTTTTACAACTTTTAAAAATTTCTGTTATTTTTAACTACTTTTTTGTTAAGCATATTTTCCTGTATGTTGTCTCACTTATACTTAGGTAAGAAAAGCATAATTTTTAAATATATAATACTTGGAGAAAGACAATAACAGTAAGTGGGACAATTAATGTTAATCTGTACCTATATTTTGTCAAATTGCCAATTTCCAATTTAACAGTACTAACTTCTGTCAGAAAGTTTTCATGTACCTCTCCGATACTCAGTCCTTTCCATTACTCTGACACTCCCCATATAGTCTAGAAGACATGTTAAATCAATAACTAAACAAAGACACAATAGAAACTTCTGATGTAAACTAAGATAGTTAAGATTTTGTGTCAACTTGGCTGAGCCAGGATCCTCAGTGGTTTGCCAAGTAAGACCCACTAATCCCACATAATGCTATTTCCTTGAAGGCATGGCCAGCTTTCAATATAATAATAGACTGTGGGAAAAGTTGCTTGCTTTTTGTTGGGTCTGGACCTGCATCTGGCTCACTGACTCTTGTTCTTTGAAAGAGAGTCAATCATGTTCCGTACTGCCTGCCAATCCTGGGGCCGCCCGTGACCTATCACCTTACTGGCTGACCTTGGATTCACTCGTTTGCCTCTGCAGCCCCTGGAGTCTGTCACCTCCCTGCTGATCTTGGGCTCATCAGCCCCAGCAACGATGTGGCTCATGAGAAACCTGCAGTCTAACATCTGACCTGTGGACTTGGAACTTGACCATTTCTGCAAATGTGTGACCCACTCTACAGATATAATCCTGCCTTTGTAGAGAACCCAGCTAAGATATAAGCTTGCTTTTCATATTAATTTGATGCACATACTTTAGGAATACTAAATGTAGGTGATAAAAATTATACACACATAAATCAGAATTTTAATTTGAGTTTAGTACTAGTTCTTACATTTTCTCCATACAATCTCTGTTTTATTTTTATTCTCTCTATAATGACAATCCTAAAAACAATAAAACCATCTTCTACTAGGTAATTATTGTTCCAAGGCATTTACGAAGACAATAAAATATTTAATTGGCACTTGCTCATGATAGATACTCAACAATATTGGTTGAATATATCAGTAATGATCTTTTAAAGTGTTTTCTAAAAATGCCATGATTGTAAAGCTCATTCCCACCCTGAGTTTCTAATTTGCTCTAATATCGCAGGTCTTTTTCACCGAGGGCCAGTGCGTGAGCAGGGGTCCAAGCTGCCACTGGGGAGAAGGAACAAGGGAAATAGCTCATCTAAGAGGCTAATTGTCAGCTCAGGCCCCAGGTCACTACTGGATGGAAGTCACAGGTTTGCATATTTCACTTGAAGCGCCTCCATCACACCCGCGCTCTCCATTTCCACAAAGCTGTGTTTTGAACCACAGCATGCCATGACCCAGTGCTCATCCTCCTGCAGAACCCAAGGTTGACTGATTAGACAGTATCACAGCGATCTCTTTGCGGTGCCACCAAACAGCATAAAAAGAAGACTGTCCATACGCAGCTTTCTTTGTAAGAAAAAAAATCTTTAAACGTGTTAAATAAAATTTTAATAGCTACTACTCTTTTTTGGACACCTAAGACAACCAAGTGTCAAAATCTTATAGATAGGACATTGTGGAATAAGGTTTAAATCCATAGTTTCCTCTCCTAACTATAGATCATCTAACTAAATAGTGTCCTTTCAAGTGCAACAATAGTGTGTATTTTACACATTGAATGCAGCTTGGAATGTGCCTTCTCTTAAAACTCTTATTAACTCCAGCATTCAAGCACTCGGAGAGCTATTTCTGGCCATAATGACACACTCCTTGTTGAGCATCCCTTTGTTCCCTTCGCCCACTCCCAGTGCAACTGATCATAAACAAAGTGCATTCCATTTCTTCCCCAAACTACCCCTTACAGTGCCGTTGGTATTTCTGCAGCTTTCCTAGTCTTATGATATTCAGAGCACCTCATTTTTTGACATTACCATATTTCATAGCTTATCTTCTTAGCATTTATACGTACCATGGAACAATTTTATTGCTTGCTGTATTTCACGGATTTCTCAAGGCCATGTATATATTATATAAATAATAATAGTGTAATAAAATACTAGGTAGTGATAGTTAGGTTAGGTGGTAAATTTTCAATGAGTGGGCTCGGTTTTCCATGAGAACTGAGGGGAATTGTGACATTGAATCCTTCAGCTTTATGATTATTAGTGAATTTACATTAATGATTGATATGCTTTGCAACCATGAATTATATTTATAGATATGCTTATCATGCAACAGTGGGAGTCGTTACTTGTCGATTGGAATTTTACTGAAATCAATTAAATTTTATTATTTGAAACATTACTTTTCAAATTTCAGCACTTTAAAAATGCTTTCCTGTACAAACTTTACAAAAATTATACTTGACTATTTAAAAGAACCTTAATATTTTTGTATTACTTTTTAGGAGACAAAGTTTACCTATAAAACAAGTATTTTCAAACACCATTTAAAATATGATAACATAACAAATGAAATTTACAAAAGCTATCAGAGGTTTGGGTAGTAAATTTTACCTGTTATACAGGTGCACCCTACTTCCCCTAGGATAAAGACTCAAATACACGTCTAAGTATTCTGTGATGAAGGACAGAAAGGGCATTCTTTTACCTGCTGTTGACCTGATGGTTGAGGTGATGTTGGAGGACGTCATTGCAGGAATACATTCATCATCTTGGGAGTAACCAGCTTGAATAGCCCGAAGGTAACTGTGACTTCTTGTTCGGAAACATCCAGGGAGGTCAAGGGCATCCATGGCCTGAGATTCAACTTCACTAAAGACGGATTCACACACCGATTCAAACTGCCCATTGATCTCAGCTTCACTCATCTAGAACAATCAATAGTACATTTGATACCAGTGTCCAGACAGTGTTAACCATGCTACAAAAGAACATGAGATTAAGATTTATGTCGCCATAATCATGTGCAATCTTAAACCTTCTGAATAATTCATTTGAAATCAGACTGAGGGATTTGTTGTCTCAGGGAATAGTTTATTGGATAATTTCTTATAAAACACTGTGATAAATAGCCAATTCTCAAATTCTGATGAAAACCTATAGAACCGGGACAAAGCGTACAAATATGGCAGGTCGACTGACAGCTAAATTTGAGAAAGGTAGTACACTTACACGTTTAGGAACGCCTCTAGCACAAAGTAAGTGTTCCCAATATGATTTACTGCCCCCTTCTCCCTGCCTTGCTGGAATTCCCTTAACTTTCCCAGCTATTTACAACACAGACAACTCTGGAATTTGAGACTATGTAAACAAACATTTAAGAAATGTAAGCTGTTTCAGTCATTTTAAAAGATGTGAGAAGTTACAATCCGCTTGTTCAAACTAATAAAACATTTGGCATATAAACTAGTATACTTCCCACGACTGAAAACAAAACACAAAAACAGGAACAAATACCAACCACGAAACCAAAAGGCAAGACGAAACCTGCCACCGCTGAGCTGACTCCAACTCATGGCTAATTCCTGTATTACAGCAGCACATATCTAAATCCAAACGAGAAAAGCCAAGTGGGATGCAATTCGTGGAATCTACCGCAATCCCATAATTTCCCCCTCTTCTAGCATAGATTAGTATAGCTTTTTTATTTGGTAGATTAGCAGAAAAATTGCTTAATTCCAAACCTGATGTTTCATCTGCATCAGCACAGTCACCCTTAGAACCCAAAAGCTCCAACTGCATTCACAGACTGATGTCTGTGGGGAGGGGAGGGGTATTCTGTTTATAGGAACCTGTGGCTTCCACCACCAGGCGAGTTGAAGGCTCTTTGCTCAGAGTGGACAGCCCTGTGGAGGACATACTTTCTCCTGGCACTTAGGGATTTTTCATGAGTCAAATCTAAAACTTTCAAATGGAAATCCAGTAAAGCAAAATATTGTATAGACAAAGGTGTAGAGAACAGGCCGAGAAAAGCAAAGAGAATCTGAAAAATGAAACTGGGGTGGTGACATATAGATGCTCCCAGACATTCACATAAGAGGCCCATGGATTCACCGTGGGCAGAAATCAGTGAATGTTTTACTTAATTTGGATGAAGGGAACTTCGATAAATAACTGCCACCTAATGACTCACCTATTACAGATCTATCATGTGTGTTGTGTATTTTAAACATTAACCGGTATATACACAGGTGGATAAGTGTTCATGACATTGACAAACAAGAGCTGAGTGGAAGGAAAAGAGTAGCAACCAGGCGAAGGGGAGCAGCCACGGGCTATCTATGAAGGGCCCACTGTGACCAGTTGAATTTCCCCTGTGGGCTTTCTCCTTGCCTCTTCCTTCTTGCTTATAGGGAAACCTGGGAATCATGCTCCATGCCACTGCTCCTTCATCCTACAAATCCAGTTGGTCCTGGGGCTTTTGTGGGGGGTGGAGGGGTGGGGAGCGGGGTTGATACTCCATTCTAAATCCATCCGGCTAAAGTCAACCTTAACATTTAATCTTCTCTGCTTCAGCCATCTCCACTTCTTTGTCACACTATGACCGCCTCTTCCCTCCTCTCTGCCTCACCACAAGAATTCTAATGGTCTCCACCCATTGCATGAGCATCTTTTCCTGATTCGCAGCCTTCCAGCTACGACGCTCGGCCCTCATGACCCGCCCTGGCGTGCCTCTGAACTTACTCCTCACCACATGGGTTCACTGGGGCCACCGCCTCAATTCATACAAAAAGAAACAAGCGGCCATCTAGCTCGGAAACAACAAAGTCCACAGAGAAGAAGCACACGAGCCTGTGCGAACACGAAGTGTTGAAGGGAACAGGCAGCAGACACCAAAGAACAAAAACCATCATTCCGTGACCACCTACTCCACATAAATGCTGAAGACGAATGTGTGCATAAGTAAGTGTGGTGAAGAAGGCTGATGGTGCCCAGCTACTGAGACCTATAGCATCTGGGGACTTAAAGGCTTGAAGGCTTGTTTAAGTGGCCATCTAGCCCTGAGGCAACAAAGCCCACATGGAAGCAGCACACCAACATGTGTGATCAGGAAGGGCCAAAGGGACCAGGCTTTAAACACCAAAGGTGTGTGTGTGTGGGGGTATCATATCCTCGTCAATGAGGGTGGTACGTGATGGAGACCCAATGCCCATCTCTAGACAACTGGACATACCTTGCAGAAGGGTAGTGGGGAGATGAGTCACTTAGGGTACAGTATAGCAATAATGAAACCCACAACCTTCCTCTAGTTCTTAAACACTTCCTCCCCGCAACTACCATGACCCCAGTTTTGCCTTGCAGACCTGGTTAGACCCGATGTTGCACAGTGGTGTAGATGGGAATTGGAAACGCAGGGAATCTAGGACAGATGAACCTCTCAGGACCAGGGGTGACAGTGGCGATACCAGGAGGGAAAGGGGGTGTAGAAATGGGGAATTGATCACAGGGAGCTACATATAACCTCCTCTCTAGGGGACAGGCAGCAGAGGGGTGGGTGAAGGGAGACGCCGGGCAGTGTAATATAAGATACAATGATAATTTATAAATTATCAAGGGTGCATGGGGGAGAGGGGAAGAGGAAGGGAGGGGGAGGGGAAAAAAGGAAAATGAGCTGATTCCGGGAACCCAAGAGGAAAGCGAATTTTGGGAATAATGAGGGCAACAAATGTATAGATGTGCTTTACACAATTGATCTATGTATTGTGATGAATTGTATGAGCCCCAATAAATTGATTAATAATAAAAAAAAAAGAATGCAGTCTCCCACCACTACAAACCTTGTCTCCTGTGCCTCATGATTTGAACTAGCGTTCTCTTTGCTGCAAAGTTCTTTCCTCATTTTGAACTTCGCTCCCTCCTTAACCCCCTCAGCAGCTCCGTGGAGAAGGCTCTTTCTCCAGGAGGTGATTCTTCCCGGATGCTCCTGCTGGATGTGTCCTCCTGGCTTCCACAAAATCCCACGTAGGCCTTCATCCAAAGCCCTCACTGCCAGTTCTTCAAGCAAGCGTTTGCTGCTCTGGTTTTGCCTCTCCTCTAAAATTTGAAGGCCAATTCCTTCCCATCTGGGTCTCTTCCTCCCAGCCACGTCCCTTCCCTCCCTCTTCCCTTCCCTCTTTTACTCTCTCCGTCCTTCCTCCTCTCTCCCCTCATCCTCTCTCCCTCTCTCTGTAAGTTGAGAAGGAAGAAATTATTATTTCTTCTATTCTTCTTTTTGAGTTCTCCTTAGTAAGATCTGGGAAGTACTAACAATTTTCTGAAACCCATGAATTATTCTGGCAGACACATTTTTTTGAAAAATGTGTTTTTTCTAAAACTAGATTAGTTATTTTTCTATCATGGTTCAGAGAGTCAGCAAGATAAAAGAATCAGATTCTTTTTCATAAAAGGAAAGCAAAATTCTATACTCTTAGACCACTTGTGAACTTCTATAGTTTTACATATCTATATCTACATATCTATATAAATGATCGCTTTCATCCTGAAGTGCTGAGTGAGCAGAACCCAGTCACTGATTCTAGAGATTATGGAGGAGGGCGCCGGGGCGAATTAGGGGACAGGGCCACTGGCCAAGCTCCAATGCAATAAAGAATGAGCGAGAAAGAGAGAAAGGGTGAGTACTTGTTTGAGTGAGCCTTTAGCTTGTGTCAGCATAAAAGACCAGAGAAAAATGAATGGGAGATTGAAATCTGAATGGTTTGAGGATTTCTGATCTTGGATAGGATCATACAAATTGAGGGCAAACAGAATTAAGACATTCCTAGTTTCATGGATTCCCATGGAAGGAATTGTATTTCCAGTAAGTACGCTCAATCTGACTGGGCCACAATTCTCAGTGTTTAGATAGTTATGTAATACAATGATGCAATTTGCCGGGTCATGGCTCTGATATGACGTAAGGATGTGGTCTGCATTACCTTTTGTCTTACTAGATATAAAAGGAAAAGAAGTGAGTGAGAGCGCGAAGAACCTACTACAGCCAAGGAGAAAGAAGGGCCGGGAGTGGAGTTGGTCTTAGGGACTTGGAGTCCCTGCATCAGAAAGCTCACAGACCCACAGGAACATTGATGCCAAGACATATGGAGATCTCCAAAGAACCCTGGATCCACAGCTGTTGAAAGGAGGCCAGGATATAGCCCAGAGGCAATAATAAAAAAGGAAAAACTCCAAAGCACTGCACAGCAATCCCATAGGACAGAGCAGAATGGCTCCTGTGGGTTTCCAAGACTGTAAATCCTTCCAGGAGTAGAAAGCCTCCTCTGTCCCCTTGGAGTGGCTGGCGGTTTTGAAGTGCCAACCTTGCAGTTAGCAACCCAATGCATGATCACTACACCACCAAATTCTTCCCCTAGAGTTGGTACCCTGAATTTGGACATCTAGCCTTCTAAACTGCGAGCAGGTAGATTAACGTTGGCTAAAATTGTTTACTTGTGGTATTTCTGTTATGGCAGCACTAGAGAACGAAGACATGTTGTACCTAGTGGGTAAATTCCATCAGAAACACTCAGACTGGTATGAAAACATGACATAAATTTTGGATTATACACTTGTTTCCATTGAAGCTTTCACTTATGTACAATTTTACCAAACATCTTAGATCCTTTTATGACATTTGCATCAACAATGCAGGTTAGGTTGCTTGAAAAGGCAAACATGAATGATGTCACGAGCCATGGCTATGGAAGGTTTTGGTGGAAACTCTTCTGGTAAGCCATGGCTCCACCTGCCCTCTCTTCTTTAAGAAGACATCCTGTGAACCTTCTCCCTTCAAAAGACTGACTTCTCAGCAAGGACCTCTCAGCTATGCTCCCGACTACAAATCCTACCAGTGAGGGTCCAGAGAGGAAGGTTACTCCTCTCTCCAAACCAA